AGTGTCTTATCAGGATGAGTGCTTTTACTTACTTTAGATCTGATATTTACAGTAGCATTGTCATTGTTGTAATTTCGGTTGGTCTTTTGCATAATTTGAATTGGGCAAACTTTCCAACTAACACACCATAATAATTGCATCAGAAATAACACCTGTCAAAAGGATCGCCTGTGAAAAATTATCATCATTACTATCGTCCAGAGAGAGGATGATGGTATAAATACGTCACTAAACAATTAGTTCCGACGGAATACTGGCATTGCAACGTACCTCTATACCTAAATGATGCAATCCTAGATTATGAATAGATAAAGTTGCCCAACTTTGTGTTACTCTGATTGTCACAGCAGAGTAGTATTATTACGTCGTCAGAAACCAACGAAACATTTGAAATATACGGGATTCCTTCACCAGAGCACATAGGCGTAGATCCCGGGGGTGGGATATATCCCCCAATATTTGACAAGGGGAGATGGTCCGTTGTATCATCCCCCCAATATTTTGACTATGTATGGGATAAAATGGAGTTTTACATACTTCAAAAGACTGTCACAGAAATAATTTGCACTGTCTTATGCGCTTACAAAGATGAAAATAAGCATAATGTATTAATGTTGATAACAAAATTATTTTATCTGGTACCAACCTAAGCTCTTCTTTCCTTAGAAGTTAGATGTGCTTGCAAAGAGAGCCACATTTCACACTGAAGGGTGTGTACGACATAAGTAATGTTATGTCAATTCCAAGAATGTTTAAGGTTATATCGGTTGATGAGGAATTTATTGATTAGGCCTATAATAGCAAATTGCATCAATTTATTTTGCAAAAACAAGGTTTCCAGCTTCAGGGGGGGGGCACATCCCCTGTCCGCACAAGGGCACAAATTGGCGCTAACACCAGGCGCGCAACAGGGGTCTTGGGTCAGAGTGGGTATTTATTTTTTTAAATTGTTTAAATTTTTTATTTCAACCATCTTTAAAGAGGGTAACCCTTCTAATTTAGCCCAGCAGGTTAACCGATATTCAGGGGCCCTCTTTAATAAAATTAAAGAACAGTACAAACAACATCATTACAACATAATAATAATAATAATAATAATAATAACAACAACAACAACAACAACAACAACAACAACAACAGCAACAGCAACAGCAACAGCAACAGCAACAGCAACAGCAACAGCAACAACAACAACAACAACAACAACAAATAATAACAAAACAAATAATAACAAATAATAACAAATAATAACAAATAATAACAAATAATAACAAATAATAACAAATAATAACAAATAATAACAAATAATAACAAATAATAATAAATAATAATAAATAATAATAAATAATAATAATAAATAATAATAAATAATAATTAATAATAATTAATAATAATTAATAATAATTAATAATAATTAATAATAATTAATAATAATTAATAATAATTAATAATAATTAATAATAATAATAATAATTAATAATAATTAATAATAATTAATAATAATAATAATAATAATAAAAAAATACAATCCTCATTTCCCGGTTAGTAATTTACCATACCCACCTCACCCCACCCCACTTCCCATATAGAAAACAATACGACATAGGGCTTATCTTATTTATAATATAGGCCACACACGTGTGTTTGAAACTAAATATAAGCATTTTCATCATGGTTTTATTTATTACAAACATATTCTTTCACCATCTATACGGTACACATTAAGGCCCTTCTTTTAGGTTAAAATGATCTATCTTAAATTTGTCTTTCTTGAGTTTGGGACTATTATGTGTTTAAATAACTTAAAAGGATAAAACTAAAAAAAGCCCTAAAAAATGCGCGCCAAGCGCGCAAAATATTTTTGTGTTTTTAATTCCAATTTCGTCGGAATTGATGAAAACTCTCTAAAATGTGCAATTTATAGAGGAAATTGGCCTACCGTAACAAGAAATGCGCGCAAAGAATTTGAGAATTTTAGGCACTTTCAGAGATGCATTTGTCAAGGGGTGGGGAAAGATTTTCCAAAGATGGATATTTTCCCCTTGTCCCCCGGTGTTTTTAATTCTAATTTCGTTGGAATTGATCGAAACTCCCTAAAATGTGCAATTTTTAGAGGGAATTGTGCCATGTTAACAAGAAATGCGCGCGAAATTTGAGGTTTTTAGGCACTTTCAGGGGATGAAAGGGCATTTATAAAGGGGTGGGAAAGATTTTTCAAAAATAGATATTTTTCCCTTGTCCCCCAGTGGTTACGCTATCGGGCAGCATAGATCAAAGGAGTTATGACAGTTTTTGAAGTAGAGAAGGGGTTGCAGGGTGTTGTGAGTCTGGTCATTATGATATCTTCCTTTTTATTCTTGTCTTTATTTTTTTCTTCTCTTTTTCTTTCCTTTTCTTTTCCTCTTCTTTCTCTTTCCCTCCCTCTCCCCTCTTTCTTTTCTCTTATTACCCACCCCGGTACGACGGCTTGGTCAGGCCCGGTAAAAACCGTCAGGGGAGGGGCAGTTTCCCCTGCCCCCCCCCCCTGTTAGGACACTGGCTAACACGCCAATCATATCCCCAATGAAAAATATTTTTCTACGCCACTGCCAGAGCATATCAGACCTACCGGGTCTTCGATTCCGTACGAGGACTTGAATATTTTATGCGAGCAACGGGAGGGATACCGAGAGGTACAATTGAGCGAGAAAGGTTCCCGATGTCTGCTTTCCATTTCGCTTTACATATAAATTCTTTGCCGTTATCTTCTTGTTTGAGATGTAATATCAGAATCTCGCAATAATAAATTTCATTCAGATACGATGTACGTAGTAGAGCTAAGGTCAACATGATCCATGAACCATTGTAGTGACATTCTTGGAAAGCCTCCTTCCGCTCTGCAAACGAGTTGAATTTGTTCACCCATATGTGAATTCATCGTCTGATTAAGAATATTGCATTTTGGGTCTGTAAACTTACTATAACGATAAGAGAGACAAGGTTAGACCAGACTGCATCTACTTGACAATTATATTCAGTGTATTGGTCATTGATGCTCACATTGTCGAGAGTCAGGCAGCTTGCTGTCTGCTCATTAACAACCACTACATATTTCTTAAACGTCGACAAATTGTTCGAGCTTATGGCAGATAGGCCATCTACCCTATCATGTGTGTCACGTCCAGTTAAGTACGGGCTCAATTGCAACATATTGAAACGCAGCGTTTTGTGCAATTAAATACCTCTACATCATTCGGTGAAGCTATCAGGTAATTTATTGACACCGATTGTGTGAACACACGTTCAAACTAGTAGTAAAAAGTATCAGCACTAGATCCATTATCGACGATTGGGATATGGATACGTCTAATTAACTAAACTCACTGTCGTGTTAAAAGTACAAATATAATTACATATGATATATTAATTAAAAGGCCATTTAATTCGAAAGAGGATATATTTCTTACTTCTCCTTTCGATTGCATTATAATGATTATATTTTCAGAAAATAAAACAGTATGGACTTCTTGCATTAGTGGTTTGAAACCATATAATTATTTGCATGATAATCACCTTGTAATATTGTTATCAATAATTTAAAGGTCTACTAGGAAAACGATGGTAAGATTTTAAGCATTGTATGTGATTATATGATAGATGAGAGGAAGAGAAATTGCGACAATTTGAAAGCAGTGGTGGCGCCAGGGCCTGCCCGACGGGGGGCTAGTGGAGCGAATCGAGTCTCACTTGGCTGGGGGCCAGGGGGCGCCTGGGGCCCCGGTGGGGGTCCAGGGGGCGAATCCCCTGGAAGCCACGGATATTTGATGAATTATGGCGAATTTTTATTACTTATTTGATAGGCATCGAGTTACTATAATATGACTTCATGTAGGCTATGCTTTCTTACGATTGCCCACAAGGGACACACTGCAAAGAAAAAGAAATGCTGCAAACAAAAAAGAAACGCTGCAAACAAAAAAGAAATCATGGAAACAGAAAAGAAACGCTGCAAACAAAAATGAAACGCTGCAAACAAAACAAAAAAGAAACGCTGCGAACAAAAATAGAAACGATGCAAACAAAAATGGAAACGATGCAAACAAAAATAGAAAACACCAGCAAACAAAAAATGAAACGCTGCAAACAAAAAAGAAATGCTGCAAACATAAAAGAAACGCTGCAAATAAAAAAAATAAAAACACTAGCAAACAAATAAAGAAATGCTGCAAGCAAAAAATAAAAACTCCAGCAAAGAAAAGAAAACGCTGCAAACAAGAAAGGAAATGCTGCAAACAAAAAAATGAAACGCTACAAACAAAAAAAGGAAACCCTGCAAACAAAATGGAAAAGCCGCGC